TATTGATGCTGTTATCATTATAACTATTACAGTGTTATTAACAATACTAATATCAATAATTTAGAAAAGCAAGGAAAACGCTAAAACATGGGAGATAGGCTGGACTAGTGATTGACTTGTTGGTGATTAAGCACTGGAGTAAATACTACAAATGAAAACTAAACACTATGGGCATGGCATGTCCATTTACATCATCCCTGTCAGTAGTTAGTTCAGTCACAAATGAACAGGTTTCTTGCAAAGAAGAAGAAGAAAAAACTTTTCTCTTCCAGGTACACCTTTTAGGTGGTGAGACAACAACTGCAGGTATCTTATACAATACTGTTTCAAATATTGGAATACACTCAAAATACATGGAACAACTTATCAAGAACATTCTGCATACTAAGAGGAAATTCAGGTAAATATGAGAGAGAGGGAGGGAGAGAGAGAGAGAGAGAGAGAGAGGGAGGGAGAGAGAGAGAGAGAGAGAGAGAGAGAGAGAGAGAGAGAGAGAGAGAGAGAGAGAGAGAGAGAGAGAGAGAGAGAGAGAGAGAGAGAGAGAGAGAGAGAGAATTATAATTATATCTATATGTATATATATTTATATACATAGTTATACATTTAATATGTACATTTAATATATATTTATATATACATATACATATTTACACACATACACACATACACACATACACACACACATACACACACACATACACACACACACACACACACACACACACACACACACACACACACACACACACACACACACACACACACACACACACACACACACACACACACACACACACACACACACACGTGTATATGTATATACATTTATATATTTGTTTATTTATTTTATATATATATATATATATATATATATATATATATATATATATATATATATATATATATAAAATGTAATTAATGAGCAGGGCTTCATGTAGTTTTAAAGAGATTGCAAAACACTGAAGTCACTGATGCCCATCAGCGGTCAGATGATAATTTTCAAGTTCAAGGCTGCAGAGGCAAACTGTTGTTGTCCAAAGACAACTGCATTTTTTTTTTTACATTGCAGTTGCTGCATTATGCACATCTGTTCTATTTTCTGTGGCAACATTTGCAGCAGGTCCTTACTTTCCTCTGGATTAATGGTTGGTGCTGGCTGTGAAGCTGTTGTTGGGGCTGGGGCTGAGGCAGATGCAGTGGCAGGAACTGGAGCTAGTGCTGAGGTTGCATTTGAAGTTAGTGCTGGAGCAAGTGCAGGGGCAGGTGATGAGGCTTGAACTGCTCTTGCTGAAGTAGGTGCTAACATCAGAGTTAAGGCACATGCTAAAGCTTGCTTTGAGACTGGTGCTAAAACTGCCACTGGAGGTGCTGAAGCAGACACTGAAGTTAGCAATGAAGCTGGTGCTGATGCTGACAGGAAAGCTAGAAGCACCACATCTGCTTTGGTGAATCATGCCTCCCAAGTTGAGGGAATTCTCTTTATTTGTTACGGTGAGGAGGTGGTAACCGGGGAGAACTTGTTTCTTGAGAAATTGATTTTTTTTTCTGTTTTTCAAATTATAGGTACATAATGCAGAATTTGCATTATGCTAAAGTCTGCAATTGACACATTTCCTGGGGAGATGATTACCCTTAGAAATGATTTTGACACACTCCCTTCTGTGCAGTAACAGCAACATGGCTACTTGCAGGGACAAGCGTATGCCCCATCTTGAACAATTGGAGCAAAATAGGTTGAGTGATCTGAAGACAAACCAACTGAAAGGTGCCAAGCCTTCAACAATGTTGATGCTTTTGGGGATTTTCTTCCCTACATATGTGACTGTGTCAACCAATCATTAATTCTAATAAGCTTAGCCTGTAGAAATTTTTCACTGTATTCTGTGATCTCACTGGTATCAATTTCCCTTGGGAAATCAAACACAAAAAGGTTGGTAAAGCATCCTTTGCCATAGGCTCTGCTTATTTCTTGGATTTCTCTTGCTACTCCAGTAGAAATTGAACATGTAAGAATTTCTTCATTCTTGCACCGCACAAAGACATTACTATGACTTAGTTTTAATGCTAAGGCTCCTTTAGTTTTGTTAAATGGGGCCATCTTCAGGACTTAGGACACCTAACTGCATATGTTTCCATGTGTTTTATGCTTCATAACCACATAGATAACATAGTGATACAAGTTCTGCAAACTTGTTACTTACAGTAATTGCCTCTTTTCCTTTTTCCTTGTTCTTCTGTTGTGGTACTTGTGTCACTAGCTTAGAGGTTCACCTCGGTTTATAGATAGAAACAGATCATTTGCCAAAATGATGCAGACCTCACCTTTTTGCCTAGAATGCAGCCAGAGTAGAGCCTACATAGACTCCACTTATAACACCCCCATACACCCACAAAAACAGAGAGAGAGAAGTAAAAAAAAAAAATAGGAGGAGAAAGAGAAAGAGAGAGAGAAAATAAGAGAGAGAGAGAAAATGAGAGAGAGAGAGAGAGAGAAAGAGAGAGAAAATGAGAGAGAGAGAGAGAGAAAAAGAGAGAGAGAGAGAGAGAGAGAGAGAGAGAGAGAGAGAGAGAGAGAGAGAGAGAGAGAGAGAGAGAGTAGAGAGAGAGAGAGAGAGAGAGAAAAAAAAATGAGAGAGAGAGAGAGAAAATGAGAGAGAGAGAGAGAGAGAGAGAGAGAGAGAGAGAGAGAGAGAGAGAGAGAGAGAGAGAGAGAGAGAGAGAGAGAGAGAGAAAATGAGAGAGAAAATGAGAAAATGAGAGAGAAAATGAGAGAGAAAGAGAAAAAGAGAGAAAGAGAAAATGAGAGAGAGAGAAAGAGAAAATGAGAAAGAGAAAATGAGAGAGAGAGAAAGAGAAAATGAGAGAGAGAGAAAGAGAAAATGAGAGAAAGAAAATGAGAGAGAAAGAGAAAATGAGAGAGAGAAAGAGAAAATGAGAGAGAGAAAGAGAAAA